GGTGCAACTTTAAGTATTACTTTATAATCATACGCCGCAGTCCTTTATAACATATATATATATACGAATTTATTGTGTTTATACTCTCTGGATAAAGATTGGGTGGACATGTCTCATCACGAAGGTCTTCGCTAGTTCAATTTATCAAACTTAAAAGTTTGTAGTATTCTCATTGTTTTTAACATTCCATATTTGTATGAAATTATGTAAAATAGTATTTGATTATATTGTCATGGCAGAGAATACAAGTATTTCTATAGTTAAAAATAATTTATTAACAAAATACAAGTATATAGAATGTGCAAAACCTGATAACAAATTTTACAAGTAATAATCTACAAGAATGGTAAATGACGTAACCAAATATTTTAGATGATAAACTAACAACAGAGTATTTACAGTACTTCAAATTAAAGATACTTCGGCCAGTAAATATTTTTTTTTGTTATTAAATTGATTATAATTAATTAATATAAAAACTAACAAAAAAAAAGATTTACTGGCCGAAGTATCTTTAATTTGAAGAACTATGAATGCCGGCCAGGCAGCCTCTATTTTTAACGTTAGTGTATTTACAGTTACAATATTATGACAATTCAGTGACAATATTATAACTCGTGTCCTTATTGGTGATTTATTGTTGCATGTTTTCTCTTGTTGAAGAACTTTTATACTCGAAAGCTGGAGATTGGTATTAATAAAAAAGAGAGAAAATTATCCTTTGAAGCTTAATATTTTTACCTGTCTCTCTCTCTCTTTATTGGTTTTTTAATTCTCATATATTTATATGTGAAAATTGGAAATTATCATAGACGCGTAAGATTCTTTTTGAAATCAAACAATTTCTATTGCCCTCACTGCAATGGAAAAATTAATGGGAGGACCTGGCTCATCAGTGGTGAACCCTCCCAGCGGTTTCGCCAGTTTAATCTATTAATATTTTTTTCCATTGCTGTAAGGACAGCAGAAATTGTTTGATTTCAAAAAGAATCATACGCGTCTTAAATAGTTTCGAATTTTCATAACAGATGGGGCGCTAATGTATCATAATATAAATATTCATATGTATTCAATTTTGTATTTAACCTTATATATGACCTTATATTAAGGATTAATTAAGGTATATTCAATATCAATCAAAAATAATTTCTAAAGCTTTGCCTAATGTTTTAATTTTTGTTCGCTCCTGACGAGGACAAAAGATTTTTGTCGAAACGTCGAGACAATAAAAAATATTTACTGGCCGAAGTGTCTTTTATTTGGAGCAATATCAATCTCTCAATATTGATACATTGATATTATTTTATTGAATATCAAAAATTATATTTATATAAATAAAAATAACTTCAACAAAGAAACTAATGTAAAAAATGAAAAATATTTATCTTCCCTAAAATTAGATTCCTATTCATAAAAAGTTTGTTTACATTAAAATTTATTAAGATTAGTTTTTCTCTCAACAGAATAAAACAACATAGAATTTTCTCATGTTTAAAAATAAAATAAAATAACGAACACAATTTAGACACGTTCTCAAAAATTAAAAAGCTCTTACTTAAAAATGGAAACAAATTGGAATGTTGGGCCAAAAAAACTGTTTTTCCATTACCCTTAACACTTTGTGGTAATTGTAGTAGTTTTGGAAATTTCCCAGAAAATTCCTTATTTATTGTGTTCGGCTGGAATTCTGTGCCATTTATGCAAATTGCCAGCAAATTGACAAAATTTGACTTTTTTTTTTACTTTTCTAGGAATATGTGTGGTGGAGAGTAAGGGCTTGCATTCAATTTACATCTTACTTTATTAATTTCTCCAGGTGTGTGTGTGTTAATTGATATTTAAGAGAATAATTATAAGTTTTAATAGTTTTGATTTGGTGTGAAGAGAGCTTTATATTGTGGAAGAAGATTAGTTGAGTAAGAGGGATTAATTTATAGGAAATATGTAAATATATATATATAGAGGTAGATTGTGTGTGTGTCAATTAATGAGCGTTCTGTTTACTTTTAGTGTTTGTTTTAATACTAGGGTTTATAAATAGGAAATGGAATTCATGTAGGAAATTATTTTGTAGTATGTTAAATAAAGAATTCATATACACTTATAAACAATACTTGAGAAAGTGGAAAATTTTCTATTTAAATAGACAGAGGCAATTTTATAAAATAAATAAAACTTCCAGGGCTAAGTTTCTTGTACGACCTTTTTTTTTCAAGCTTTCGGACTTGTCTGTCCATCAACAGGAGTATCAGGTTAACAAATTAATAATAAATACTATTTTTATATACACATATATGTGTGTATATAAAATACGTTCATTGAATTCTTTCTAGCCATATTATTGTAGTTCTTCCTCTATCTTCCTTTTTCCTTCAATTTTTGCATAATATCAACATATTATCTGAGCCTTTCGCTTTCATTATATGTCTGAAGTAAGCCAGTCTTTGTATATTCTGGATTCTAGGGATCTAACAGGATTAATTTCATTAAATATTGTAACATTTGACCATGGTATCTGTCCATGGCACTCGAAGTACCTCTTTCTCATTATTCTCTCTCCAATATTGATATTGAAATACATATATATATGTTATATGATGCACTAGCGCGCCATCTGTTATCAAAATTCGAAACTATTTTAAAGGCGTAAGATTATTTTTGATATTAAACAATTTCTACTGCCCTTACTGCAATTACTTAATTTTTCCTTTGCAGTAAGGGCAGTAGAAATTGTTTAATATCAAAAAGAATCTTACGCCTTTAAAATAGTTTCGAATTTGAATATATATGTTATATTAAAATATTATTTTATTTGGAGTTATATTTTATAGATTCAAAAATACTCTGTTAAATCGACCGCCAGAGGTCACACTTCCCCTATAAAAACTCATTGTTGTTGTTTCCCGATGGCCGCCTCAAATCTTTTTGTATATTATGTAAATAAGTTTTTAATTTATTTTATTCTTACGCCTTAAGCCAGGCAGTACTTTTATCAAATTATGTTTTTTTTCTATATTACATAAGCTCAATCAAAGCTATTTCTAATCTTTACTATTTTGATTAAACTTTCAAGATTTTAACCGCGACTGCATTAACATAGCATAATCACAAGATAATCAAAATCACGCAGAATCTCTTTTTTTTTATATGGTGGATATACCACATTGATTTATCTACCTCGACTAGTAGAATTGTTGGGTATTATTACACCGTCCTGAAAAACAAATTCGCCAATAAGTCGCTATTCTCGGCTACCGTAAACCTTTTGTAACATTACCTAAATTAGATCAATATTTTAGAAAGATAAAGATACATTTTAATTATGTTAATTAACAATATTTCAAAAACTCCGGAATCTTCTTAGAGTCCACAAATAAACTTCAAATTTTGGTGTTTGACTTTCTGCAACAATTTTTTTGTGTGGACTCTCTCAACTTTATAGAAAGTTTAGTTATTCTTTTAATGGCGGTGTAGATAGAGGGATGGTGTTTAAATTGGTTTGTTAAACCTTCAGGACTTTTTTAAAAAGTATAAGTTATTCTAATAACAAGTTATAATAAACCATGGTGATAGAAGGTTGCTACTGCTGGTACTGTATATACACCACTTGTGGTAGTACCAGACCTCGATAAGAAAGAGCCAATTTTGACAATTAAAAACAGTTTATTTACATCTAGTCAACAGTAGGAAGAGAGGTTACAGGTTAAAATAGGGAGAAATATTTACAATAGACGGAGCCCTAAGGGACGTCTGGATTTCATCAGAAGCCGAGAGCCGTTATGGTTGAAAGATTTTGACAGTATGTAACGTAAGTATATCATCAAATGTCTACATATACACTTTTGGACAAAACATGGCGGATAGAAAGTTGCTACTGCTGGTACTATAAACACACCACCTGAGGTAGTTCCAGGCCTTTATAGGATAATTATGGATGAAGGATTTTCACAGTAAGTAACGTAAGCATATCATCAAATGTCTACATATACACTCATGGACAAAACTTAAGGAAGTGGAAAGTCTTTGCTGTTGCCTGTTGTCTGTTATTTTAAGGATACAGAGGCAATTTTGTTCACATTTTGTTATCTCGTATGTCTTCAATAAAGGACACTGTAATATCTTTCAGAGTTATTGTCTGAATCCCGATATACATGCTAAAAGGTACAACTTCCTTAAGTTTTGTCCATGAGTGTATATACACTTGGTTATCTCGTGTGTCTTCAATAAATATAACTGTAATATCTTTCCAGAGTTATTGTCTGAATCCCGAATATACATGCTAAAAGGTACAGCTTCCTTAAGTTTTGTCCATGAGTGGATATACACTTGGTTATCTCGTGTGTCTTCAATAAAGGTCACTGTAATATCTTTCAGATTTATTATCTGAATACCGATATACATGCTAAAAGGTACAACTTCCTTAAGTTTTGTCCATGAGCGTGTATTTTATAAATGCGCCTTCTATTGAATAACTCGAATATCCATCCGGGGAAAAGTGTCTTTATATAAGTTTTTATTAAAAGAACTCAAGCTTTTGGACTTATTGGTCCTTCGATCTCCGTCACAATAACTAAATGTATCACTCCTGTCGATTCAAATCTTCCATTTACTTCATTGAGTACAGAGGATTAATATCCATTAAATGCTTTCTACAATCTCTATATGTATATTTCGCTATGTTTGTTTGTTCCGGGCATATACATCGCTCCAATATGTAACATATCTGGATGTAACTTCACTACCTTGGAAAGTTAGGTCTGGAAGGACACACTGTCATAATTTGAAACTCCTAAATATGCAAATTAATTAATATATTTGTTCAGCGTAGGTTTGCCCAGCATTCGACATCTATTCAGATGAACATTTGTAATATAGGATATAGATTTAGAATTGGAGAAGAAAGGAAATCATTATATTATAGTTTTCAAGTACCAGCGAGGGGAGATAGATACTTTGATCCATTAAAAGAATAATTCACATATTTTAAGTTGCAAAATGGGGGGTCGGTTGAAGGCTGGTTAAACCGTTTGGTTTACGACCACTACGACCCGGGTTCGATCCCCGCATTGAACACTTTTTTCTGTTTAAAAAAAATGCTCCAATGGCCCCCCGATTCTTGCAAAAGTCCAACCCCACCAGCGAGTGCAAGTAACCAAACGGGGCTCTGGCACATTTGTAAGTGCAAAGTCGAACTGCTTTCACATGTGTAGACATGTGGTGCGCTTATAGTAAAAAGCAGTCGCTAACTACCCACCATGATTATCATGGCCTGTACCACGTGTACTAGGGATAAGCAAAAAAAAAAAAGTTGCAAAATAATAATATTTTTTGTAAAAGTCATATTTGTTGATATATATATCGTTCTTGAGATATTTATTTCCCCAGATGTTTCGGCACAACTCATTAAGAAAACCATATATTTTAATACTCATGGACAAAACTTAAGGAAGTTGTACTTTTAAGCATGTATATCGGGATTCAGACAATAACTCTGAAAGATACACTCATGGACAAAACTTAAGGAAGTTGTACTTTTTAGCATGTATATCGGAATTCAGACAATAACTCTGAAAGATACACTCATGGACAAAACTTAAGGAAGTTGTACTTTTAAGCATGTATATCGGGATTCAGACAATAACTCTGAAAGATACACTCATGGACAAAACTTAAGGAAGTTGTACTTTTTAGCATGTATATCGGAATTCAGACAATAACTCTGAAAGATACACTCATGGACAAAACTTAAGGAAAGTTGTACCTTTTAGCATGTATATCGGGATTCAGACAATAACTCTGAAAGATACACTCATGGACAAAACTTAAGGAAATTTGTACCTTTTAGCATGTATATCGGGATTCAGACAATAACTCTGAAAGATACACTCATGGACAAAACTTAAGGAAATTTGTACCTTTTAGCATGTATATCGGGATTCAGACAATAACTCTGAAAGATACACTCATGGACAAAACTTAAGGAAAGTTGTACCTTTTAGCATGTATATCGGGATTCAGACCATAACTCTGAAAGATACACTCATGGACAAAACTTAAGGAAATTTGTACCTTTTAGCATGTATATCGGGATTCAGACAATAACTCTGAAAGATACACTCATGGACAAAACTTAAGGAAGTTGTACATTGTAGCATGTACGAGTATATCAGTATTCAGACAATCACTCTGAAAGATATTACAGTGACCTTTATTGAAGACACACGAGATAACCAAGTGTGAACAACATTACCTTAAAAGATAAAATAGACGACATCAAAGATTTTCCATTTCTTTAAGTTTTGTCCATGAGTGTAATTAGAAGCTAAAATCCAAGAGAACGCATTATCCTGAGTAAGGCTACAATGAGTAATCGGAACTTCGGACAACAAATAATTTAAGAACTGTTAATATGTATTAATGTTCTTTTTTTATATATTAACTATTCTTGAGTTTACTTTTACCTTAGACCAGATGTCGTTAAACTCTTGAGTCGGTAGCCAAATATTACAATTTACAATCTTTCAAAGTTGTCAAAGAGCCACCACATTTTTTTCTTGCCAACAATAAATAATACTCACATAAATAATATTCACGTATGGAACTATATAAAGATAGCAGTTTCACATCCAAAGAACCGCAGTTTACCGAATCCTGCCTTAGACGAATATTTTCGATACGATTCCGTGACATACAAATTTATGGTCTATATCAATCATTTTTCCCAACAAAATATCCATCTTTTAATAAGTACTAAATAAAAAATTATAACCCAAGTAGAGAAAAGAAGTATGCAAATATTAGCAAAGAAATATATAAAGAAACAATAAATCCACAAGAGAAGTTGTTCTGTGAAAAATAGACACTTCGGCCAGTTAGAGTTTATTTTCTTAACGTTTCGACAAAAATCTTTTGTCTTCGTCAGGAGAAATAAATAAAAGCATTTAGCAAGGCGTTAAAAATTGTTCTGATGTTGCAAGGGCGTTCTCACGCGATTTTAGGTAGTAGTAGAAAAGTAGTTTAAAAATAGAATATATAAATAAGAAAAAATATAAAAGGTAGAAATTCTGTGACTCAGAGAAAGTACATGTACTCTATTTTATATTCCCCAAGAGTAGCATATGAATAAAAGTAATCAGGAAGGTGGGTTTACAGAATTCTAGTTTACCAGACACCATGGAGATTTTTTTCATTCCTAATATAACTTCATAAAGAAAGTTACCTGTAAAATTGGGAAGGAACCAGAGAAAATATACTTCACTCTCAGCAATAAAAATAAATTTGAAAACCACTCTGCCATAAAAATAAAAGCTAACATGAAAAACCACTTTAGAAGTTGCGCGAGGTGGAAAACAATTCAAATATGTCATCTTAAACCATATAGTCTTTTTTTTTTTTACCACAGGTATATTAGAAAAAAAGAAAAAAAAACATAGGTTACAAAAAATATACTACTACCAAGAGATGCCTTTTGCAATCTTAACCTCTTTGTGTAAATGATAAAGTGTTAAAATGTTTTTCTCTTTATTATCATTATTTCACTCTTTTATTTTTATAAAAATGTAGAAAATTACACAATTAGAGAATATTTTTAAATATTCACATATTGATCACTCTAATTTATAAATAATTCCTAAAATTATTCACTCATGATTTAGTTATTGACAAATAATATTTCTTATAAAATCTAAAAATGCAAATATTTTATTTTTGAAAAATATTTATTTTATTTTCACACTCATTGACTATTCTACATTTTTGACCATAGTTTTTAGAATATGCCACTTTGAATGTTGTTGTAAATATGTATAGTTAACTCACCTGTTTTTAAATGCACTAATATAGAATTAATTCGGTAAATTCTATATAACTGTGGAAATATTTATTGTGTAATTTTCTTAAAGTAATTGAAAATAAAAAATACTTGATAGTAAATAATTATTTTTTCAACTTTTCTATTATCACGACTGCACCTTCAATTCTTTATATCTTTACAATAAAATATATTATTCATAACCTATTTATATAATATATTTTAAAATATAATTAAATATATATTACAAATATAAATTTTTATAAATCATAATACTTGCATTTTCCCTATAAGTTAAATCAAATATGGAAAAATATATGAAATATAAAAATTAAACAATTTCAAATGGGAATACTTAGAAAATAAATGAGTTATACATTTTCGACTCAGAATCTATTCGACAAGTTGCCATATAGGATTCCATTTTTTGATAAAATATTGGAGCAGAAGATTATTGCGTTTCTTTTTTCTGCGAAGATATTTTTAACAAATGATAACTTTGTATTCCTATAATATAAAGTCAGGTTTACCATAGATTTCAATTTTTAACAATGGTGATATAAAAATAGAAAATAATAAAACTTTAATCTAAAAGAACCATTCCAAATCTTTTCCCTCCTTTTTTATATATTTCAGAAAATATTTATGTCGGTTTATAAATTATGAGAAAAAAATATTTGTAAATCACAGAATAAATATTTAAATATTTTATTATATTATTTGACATTTTTGAAATCTAAAATATTCATATTGATTTTAAAGTTTTAAGTTTAAATATTAATTCGCAATATTTACATTAATACTTAAGTTTCCTTTGATCTGTATTTTATTTATAGAAAATAAGATATTAATATATATATATAATTCCCGTTTCTAATCACAAAATATTTACAGTTCCATCAAATATAAAAACTAGACTAATAAATTCTGTTTTTATATATAAATAGATCAAGAAATTCCAATAATTATCGAGGTCCAGTAAATAAATCTGGTGACACTGCTATAAAGATATAATCACAGATGGAATATATAATATTCCAACCTTTTTTATTCAGTGATTGTAGAAATTAAGATTAAAAATTATAAAATTGATAGAAGCATAGATATATTTGCATCTTTATGAAGCAAATTATCCTGTTAATGTCTTAATAAATATATTTTCACTGAAAACTCAATATTTTTTATTCGGTGATTGTAGAAATTAAGATAAAAAGTTTTAAAATTCATAGAAACATAGATATATTTGCATCTTTATGAAACAAATCGTTTTGTAATGTCTTAATAAATATATTTTTACTGGACACTAAAATATTCTTCATCTTCTTCTTTCTTATGGGTGAAGTAGAATGCGTCTTCCTTTGTCATCAAGACTGGGCGCACTACTCAGTAGCAGGCCGACTTAGCTCCAAAAGAAAAGGCCGCCTCTGACATGAGGAACAGATGCCATGTGCAGTCACTTCTAATATGAAGTACAAACGCTGCTCATCTAAAGCTAAACTACTAAATATATATATTTAACATTTAATTAAAAAGGTATATAATGGTAAAATAAATGATATTTTGATCCAATATATGTCTTTTTAACTAAAGATTTATTTATGGATTGCTCTATTTTCAAAATATATTTAACAATAATGTATTTCAACACACACACACACACAAATAAACACAATATTCCCGCTAGGAATAATTGCGTCAATTTATTATTGTGTTAAACAGAAACAGTTATATAGACCATTATACAAGAAGAAAAAAGAAACAATGAAATAGATTAGGAACTTCATCATTTCAAATCAGACAGATAGTCATAAATTGTTTTGAAAATAGAGCAATCCATAAATAAATCTTTAATTAAAAAGGCATATATTGGATCAAAATATCATTTATTTTATCAATATTTCAGTTGGCTGAACGCCAACCTTTATCAAGGTATTATAACATTTTAAAGTGTGTTAACAACAAACTCATGGCCACATATGTTGACGTTATGTGGCGCTGAGTTTGTTGTTGACACACATTAAAATGTTATAATAGCTCGATAAAGGTTGGCGTTCAGCCAACTGAAATATTGGTAAAATAAATTATATTTTGATCCAATATATGCCTTTTTAATTAATAGTCATAAATATTAAAAACAAAGAATCCTGACTCCTATCCTGACCAGGAGCACATGTGCTTTACAGAAGGCAGAACGCCATCTGGTGGAACAGAAATCAACTAAACATTGATTTAGCCTGTTCTCTATTGTTTTTTTCAGTCATAA